ACTTGTGGTGCCTCGGCATCTTCTGTTACGAACTACTTGTGGGGAAGACGCCGTTTGTAAGCAAGGACACAGAGAACATTTGCAAGAAGATTCACGCAATGCAGTACACCATCCCCGACACAGTGCCACCGGAGGCGAAGGAATTGATTTCAAGTCTCTTGTTGCGTGACGGGGGCAAACGTCTTGCGTTGCACCGCGTGGTCAATCACCCCTTTCTGCTTAAGTATTACTATCTTCCAAACGGCATCCAGCCACCAAGAGGGAAGCGCATGCGGGGTGCCGCGGACGTCTCGGGCGGAAAGGAGAACTAAACGAAACATCCCCCGAAGAACTGCGTTGTTTGCTTTATCCTGCCTTTAGAAGAGGAGATGAAAAAAAAAAAAAAAAAAAAGAATGACAAGGGAGGAGATGTTCACGTGCAAGAGGCGGGGAAAAGAGATTTATTTATTTTTTTTTCCCATCTATTTACCGTGGTAGAGGGGTGATGTGAGTGGCTTGTATAAATGACTTTGATAGATGCAATTGCGTTCAACATGTGTTACTAGAATAGCGCAGGAGGCAGGGAAATATATATTCCCTATCCCTGATTTACATGCTTAATTGTATTGTGGTGTCACTCCTCTTTTTGACGGTGGGGATGGAGTTTGGTGCTACGATATGTATGCTTGAATGGCCGCTCTCTTGCTGGTGATGTTATGTGCCCACATGTTAACAGATCCCTTTTACTTTTTCTCACACAAAACCTTTTTTTATTATTATTATCTCTTTTGATTTACTTAAACCTTGACATTTTTCTTTTTGTTATTGTGGTTGGCTGTACGCACGCACGTACTTCTGTGAGAAAACTAAAGAGTGTAGCAAAACAATGGAGTTTTCTGGCAGCACACTCTCCGTCTCTGAGGTGGAAATAATGGTGCGACAACTGAAGCCGATGCCGATTGAGAAGGTTGGCACGACTGAATGGAAAGACCAGCGTGAGATGGTTGAGCGGCTCAACATGTGTTCTCACAGCAACGCCGTTCTTAAGAAGGATGATACCGTCAAGGCGTTTCTCATAGAGCATGAAAAACTGTCGGTCCTGTTGCATGAGTTGCTGGTGATGGAGGCGTGGCGTCATCGCGTGCTACCCTTGGTAAAGGACATGATTGCAGGGAATCCCACGGCGATGTATATGTTTCCCTACTACGAAATGGTTTTGGTAAACCTGTTTGAATGTATTTGTTTTCACGAAGAGGTGGTAGTGGCCCTTGATGATGATGTTTTGGAGCTTTTGGATTATTGCTGGCGACAAGCCTCCCGTCTCTTTGCAGAGAAGGGGATTAATGATATCCCAGCTAGACCCACACTCCAGGAAATTAGTGAAGAGGATTCACTCCGGCATATGGAACGACAGTTATCACACGGCATGGTGCAGCGCGCTTTAACTTCTCTGTCTATTCTTTGGTTTATTATTGATCGACTGGAGCAGTTGCCTCTTTCGGTGTCTAACTCGGTGTTTAATAAGAATGATCTTGTGTTGGGCCTCTCAGAGATCATGATGCTTCAACCCTGGTTACGCCGCGGCTCGGGTGCGACGCAGAAGTATTTGAATGGGGAATTTAAGGATGTTCCACAGGGAGACGCTCTTCTTGTTTGTGTCCCCGAGGCACATACGTGGTTTTGCCTTCATAAGATGCTGTGCGACCCTGAGTGTCGACGGCGGTATCCGTATACACAGAGCAAGAAGGAGCTTATTCTTCGCATCCGTCGGTTCCTCAATGACACAATTGTCGACCAGATTCCCGCTTTGGCTAGTGTGCAGCGGGCCTTGGAGGAGCTTTCTTTTATGCAGCCGCCAAGTGACACCGAGGCGAAGTTTAAAAGCTCTCTGACCATAGAGCAGGTCCCACGCATCATGGCGGCAGTGGAGGCTTCACGAACGCATAGCTGGGAAGACGTTGCCAATACGTTTGCCGCTATGCTGAAGGACCCACGCATAAAGAATGAAGATGCCATGCGGATGGCACGCATCTTTGATGAGATGTTTGCAGAGAATGAAAGGCCAAAATAGCTTTTATGGTAGAGAAGCAGATGGAATGGGAAAAGAAGGAAACAATGATGGTGTTTTGCAACAATGCTGTTTCCACCCACACATGTCCACTCCCTACTAATACGGCTTTCTCTCTCTTTCTCTTTCCCACGCGGGGAGACCCTGAAGAAAGAATGTTGTTTGGTTGGTTCAAAACAAACCTGCTTGTGGTAGATTGATTTATAAACTTATTGGCTTCCTGGTGCATGGGTGTGTGTTCGTCTGTGGGATATGTCTCCTCCGAAGTGTGAGGGGTGCCGGGTGTCTTCAACGATAAAATATCGTTTTCTATCGTTTTACTCTTTCTCTCTCTCTCTCTATATATATATATATATATAATTCTCTCTTTTTTCTTTTTTTGTAGGAATAAGGGAAAGAGCCTCAGTCAGGTGCATATTATTTCTTTTTTCTTGCTTTGCTAGTGGCAGCCACAAACAGGTGTGTGTGTGTGTGTGTTTAACACCGCTGCCTTTTCATCTGTGGCTGGTCTTTTTTCAGGAGAACTTTGTATTTCTTGCTTTTGGTGGGAGTGGCGATACGCACCACCCTCACCCAGCACACATATATCATCGTGACTTTAAAGGGAAGAAACAAGGAGGGGGAGGAAAACGAAAACGGAAACGAAAACCAAAAAAAAAAAAAAAAAAAAAAGGAAAACAACAACAAAAACAACAACAAAAAGGTGCAAAAAAAAAAAAAATCAATAATAATAATAATATATTAGGAGACATCAGCGGAGGGGGGTTGCGAGGAGAATATTATTGGTAAGTAGGTAGCCGTAATTTTCCTTATTTGTGTGTGTGTGTGTGTGTGTGTTGTTTTTTACTTTGGCCGAGGAGGTCCGCCATGAGTGATACGGATTGCCTGGAGCTGCCCTCATTCGAGGCCTTTGACACGGAGGATCGTCCGCCGCCGCCATCTATTGAAGACTACCCGATTGGATGCGAGGTGGAGCTTGTTGACATTGGCCCTGCGAAGATAGCGCAAACAAACGAGTTGTGGGAACCATTCATGGATGAATTATTCGGACAATGTCGACGGTCTGTGCGGGTGGTGCGTCACCAAGGCGACTACACGTTTGTTGTTTGCGAAACGGACCCGGAGTTGATTATTGGCTGCACTTTATACCGTGCCTGCCTCAGTGAGCCCAAGGTGCGCTTCAAGAAGTACATTCCAACCCATCATGCGGAGGGTGCAATGGTGAAAATGAGTGTTAATACGCGAGAAGGTAATGATAAGGGCCTCTTTGAGCTTTACTCCAGTGCTACCGAAGAAGATAGCCATGATTTGGAGGGCGTTGCAATTATAGGGAATTCTATCCGTGGAAGCGATCCAGCTTCTGCAAAGATAAAAGGGACTCAGCGATCTCTAACAGCGGCCGAAGCGACGCGACGTTTGCGTTACAATGAGGTAGAAAACAAGCATGAGGCACCGATTCCAGAGAAGACGGATGCGGTACGTTGTAAATATAACTACGCCACAAGGAAGGCATATGAGGCTCTAAGCAAAGAAAATTACAGAGATGCAGTGCGATACTACACTAAAGCACTCAAATATAGCAGTGATGGTGGAGCGAGATGTTTATCAAACCGTTCTGTTGCATATCTCGGAATGAGAAATTTAGAAGCCGCCTTCAAGGATGCTACACGTGTGATTGAGTTAATACCTCAAAGTTTTTTAGGCTACGTGCGTGCGGGTAACACATTGCGTGGCATGAAACGTTTTGAGGAGGCGAGAACTTATTACGAGAAGGCGCTCTCGCTCGATCCCGGCAACGAGACACTTAAGTATCTTTTATTAAGTAACTTTATCATGATGTTGTACGCCTCCAAATATGAGCATCGAAAGGCAGCATCTATTGCATTGGATCGTCGCACGTTGAATGTGATTCTCCTGGCAAAAAAAGACTTGCGGGCCGGTGAATTGGCATGGGTTGAATCATCCGGGGCAGTTGTTTCACTGAAGCAGTATGACTATTTAAGTGGTGGTGGCGGAGTAGGTCCCAATGGTAATCATGGTAATAACACCACACCGCAATTCTGTTCTCAGTGCTTCCGACCTCTTACGAAAATTGAGGAATTTTGCGAGAGATTGTCGGATGTTGAGCCTTCCATTCTTAAAAGATTATATAACGAGCACCATATTGTGCAGTGCAACGGTCATTGTGGAGTTTTATACTGTTCGGATAGTTGTCGTTCCAGGGCGTGGGCGGCGCACCATTGGGTGGAGTGTGTAACCCAAGGAAAGTGGTCTGAGGCGTACCGCCAACTCCCTGGACTTCTGAGAGATTTTGTTGCGTTTTGCAACGGGGCGGCGAACAGCAATTCTCAAAGCGGTAACGAATATTTTCATGGACAGGAAACCAGTTTGCCTTCTTTTACGGAGGAGAAGGTTAATGTCATCGTAGCCTGTGTTCGCCTGGCCTGTCGCATGTTTTCCAAGATTCTAAGCAATGGAAGGCCCTTGGAGGATGCCGTTAATATCTTTGAGTGGATGCTTCCCAGGGAATGTACGTACAGTTCCAATCTTGACTGCCATCCGACCAACTTGGAGCAGAAGATTGTTATTAAAAAAATATTGACCCCTGTTTACAACATATTTCAGCAATGCTTTACAAGTGAGGAGAAACATTATTTATCCTTCATTGTTTTTTTCCACTCTTACGAACGTGCTCGATTTAATTGTGTGAAGCTGCGTGTATCCGCATGGCCTGCAATTCAGGCGAAAGCGGGAAGTTACATTGACCTTATGAAGATGCGAAGGAGTAATAGCAGCTCCACGTCTATGCTTAGTTCGGCATCGAGGGATAACATGCCGGAAGGGCCATCCGAATCTCAAATAAGTCAGTTGGAACGCATTGTGGCAACTCCGGCGGAGTCCATGGCGGGGTATTTTGAGTGCCTGGGTGTCTTTAAGGTGTTTGCGGCAACATTTTCTCCATTGTGTGCACAGCAGGAGAAGCAGGCATACTACAATGTGAGGGTACGGCCCATTATTGAGCCAGGCGCCATTATTC